GATATGTATAACATGTCCAAGCAGAAATGGTAGCAAAATGATCATTTAAATGCTATTTGTCCTAAATGCATTTAAACTAACAGTTAGGACACCGTGGGATATTTGTAGCAAAATGCAGTGCGGCTTTGAAAATGCATTCCGAGCTGACCATGCCCACCCTCCGTCAATCATTGCTTCAAGGCGGGGATTGGCGGAAGCGTGTTACGTTTGGATCGTTCGAAATATGGCGGCTTGAGATCTGATAAGATCATTGAATTCACTGGCAGATGAAGTATCCAGGAACATGTTAAAGAGATGAATTGTAATGCTTGTAATGTCCATTTATAGTCTTTACACAGCAGCTTGGCTCCTTAAATGTTTAAAAACCAGCTAATTTCAAGACGCTGACGTCACGTCTTGTCGTCACGTGGGTCACCCGCAGTGTAAGACGCTCCAAGCTCAAGACTTTCAGTTTGAAGTTCGATCGGTCGGTCGGTCGTTCGAACGTTTGATTTTAGCATGGAGAACGCTTCATATATTTCTCTGTTCATGCTCCACTTCATCTGCCAGTGAATTCAACGATCTTATCAGATCTCCAGCCGCCATGTTTCAAACGATCCGTATCACGCTTCCGCCAATCCCTGCCTTGAAGCAATGATTGACGGAGGGTGGGCGTGGTCAGCTCGGAATGCATTTTCAAAGCCGCACTGAATTTTGCTACAAATATCCCACGGCATCATGATGAAAATGCAATCCGAAGTGTTCTAACTGTTAGTTTAAATGCATTTAGGACAAATAGCATTTAAATGATCATTTTGCTACCATTTCTGCTTGGACATGTTATACATATCAAATCAATTAGTGTTATATATTTAAATTTTAATTTTGCAACTTATAAAGCGTTAAAATTTGTATGCAATTTACATATTAAGACTACTGTTGGAAATGGCAAATGTAAATTATATAATTTAATTTTCATTTTCTTTTTGCAACAAACTTTGCACGTATGGGTAATGGAAAATGGAAATTTAAATACAGAAATACATTGCCATTTTGAATATTGCATTGTCACTTTTAAATTGAATTTCGCTACCTATATGCTTCCATACTTACGAGTTATGAACCTGTCATATTTAAATATCAATATTAATTACCACGTCTGCTCTGCGTTGTGCATGTAACCTGCCAAAACTCAAATGAAATCACAGTTCATTTAGCATTTGAATTTCCGATGCCTTACAAGGAAAGCTGTCAATCAGTGTCAGGGGCGGGACTATACTATGGGGCGTGTTTGCATTTGGAAGTGACGTCACTCACAGATGATTGTGCCGAATGCTTTGAACAATGGAGGTAATCGGTAAAAAGGCTCAGCTAAAGGCAACTGCCAATCTGATAAATGCGTGTGAAATATATACACAAAGTTATAGCATTATTTTCATAAACACATTTTCCCCATAATTCCTTTAATGGGGAATGGATTTTTTGCTGTTGTTGTTAATTTATTTCAGTATTTTTGGTAATTGTTTTATTAATAATTTTACATTAATGTGTAAATACTTTCTTTCTTTCTTTCTTTCTTTCTCTGTCTGTGCAGAAGAGGCGATCAGGGCGTCAAGTGAAGCGACGGAAGTATAACGAAGATCTTGATTTCAAGGTCGTGGATGATGATGGGGAGACCATCGCCGTGTTGGGCTCGGGCCGAATTGCTGCCATGTCTTCCTCTACCCTCGCCTGGCAGGCTGAGGTAACCGTGGTAACATCTGCCATTATGCCACACCACAGACCTGCCCTACTTCTGGAGGGGCGGAGCAAACACACACTGGAATAATTCCCACCTTCTTTCTTCACAGGAACCCCCTGAAGATGAGGCCAATATCATTGAGAAAATACTCTCAGCACGAACGGTCAAGAAAGAGGTAACGGTTCAGATTACATGTTACACTTATAAATAATGGATTACTGTATCCAGTTAAATCAAATTAAGCAACAATATTTATTATATGGCCATTATATGGCTTTGATTTACACCATGATACAAAAAGTCCAGAATACTGAATACACTTTACACTGGGGTGCAAGAAACATCTGCCTAAAAATAAATCTTTTTCATGTAGACATCCCCTGACGAACCACCTGAAGAGATGGAGGAGTTTTACGTCAAGTACAGAAATTTGTAAGTGTACTTATGCAACTCAAACTGCTGTCACCTTTTTGTGATCTCAAACTCTCAAAGATCCCTATTCTGGTGTAGTTCTGGAAATTACAGTATTGCAAATAGGACCAATTTACTGGATCGCATTTAGTTTCAAAAACTAAAGAAAAAAAATTTGCTTAAAGACGTTAAGAGAAAAATGCCTTTTAGCATCATTGATATTTCCCCCCTTTATTTTCATGATAATAAAGCATATTTCCCACCCAAAATCTTTTTATTTAAATACTTTTGTTTTGTATTTTTTAAATAAGTTTACTGTAATGTATATGTGCTTTACATATGTTTTTAGTAGTATTTATAATCATACCTGCAAACTAGTCGCTTTTCGGTGAAATTTGCAGTTTTAAATCAAAATATATCATATATGTGAATCATCTAGATCTGAAGATTTTTTTTTTGGCTGGGGGGGGGGGG